GTCCAATTGCACACTTCTTGGGTTGAGCAGGTAAAGGAATTCTTTAAGGTGAGGGCTCCAGTAGACTCACACTTTCCCCTAGATTCCAACAGCCAGTTAAGAACAGTGTCAGCAGTCTGTTGGTAGCTCAGAAAGCAGTGTCTACAATGAGGTTCTTTGTATAAGAAGAAGAAAAACAATCATTTGACAGAGCAGAACTTACAAGAGGAAGAATATAACAAATATTACTTGCCTTCCAGACCCCGATTTTCCTTTCATGCTTCTGTAGTAAAAGCTCTTCAGCTATGTCTCTCATCTGTACCTAGAAGCAAAATCAATGATTTTATCCCAGTTATTCAGAATGTCCCCAGTTTTGAAATTATCTACTAATTTAATAGCTTTTAAAAATGATGTAAAGGTCAGTGCAGATAAAAGACAGAGAACAGGAGAAAGAGGATAAGACTTAGAAATGGAAGCCCTGTCCAGGTTCCTGGGCAAGTCACTCAAATTCTCTGAACAGTTTCTTCATCTGCAAAGTGGAGACAAGAACACCTGAGTGCATTGCGCCAAAGGTAGACAACAGTTTCACTCTGGGTAACATGGAAACTAAAGCTAGAAAGATAATTAGAACTTCCCAGATTTTTGTGCTATTTTCCAGTAAAACAACTAATTTTAGAAGAGCAAAAATGTTACTCAACACAAGGAAGAAATACAGTAGGTATTTCTTGAGGTTATTGCCTATTCACAATATTTTCCCTTTCTTCGGAACCATTCCCACCAAATCTGCACCATGTGACCATACCTCCCTGTCCATCACACATCACATCCAGGAGCTGACCTAGAGAGTGACCCAGAGTCACTGCTGCTGAGTCTTTTGGTAGCCCCAGCCTGGAGAAAAGATCTGAGGATTCTTCTTGCTGGGTTCCCAGGGCTGTCCTGGTCTCTAGCCTTTCTAAAGCTTGTGTGTCAGTTCTTCCCCTAAGTTTGTGAGATGCTCCAGCATCATTTTGTAATAAATACTTGTTCTCTCTTTTCTTTTGCCTTTGGCTTAAGGTTGCCAGAATCAGTTTATGTTGTTGACCATCCAAAGAATTGCTAAGCAGGAAGTGGCTGTAGGTAACAATAAAATTATTGTGGTAAACATAGTGAGAAAACATGGTAAATAATATTAGTAAGCCAAGTATCTTTTTACTTGGCTTTGGATAGAGAATTAGAGTCATCATGAAGAAAGAAAATGAGAAAATCTGAGTTGTCCCAAAGCTTATTTCCAGGAATTTTTTGCCTAAAGCAAATCAGGTCTTCTTCCTCATATAATAAGTCCTATGCTTCCAGCTGTACTGTGTTTTCTATAACTTAAGATATGAAGAAGACTAAGGATATTTCCAGATAAGTAAGACTCAAAGTGTTTGCTAAATTAAATATGGAGAGCAGCTTTTTTACATTCTTCCTGATCAATACTAGCGGCATGTGCACTAAAGTCCAAAATTACATGCTCTTTGCCTCTTGTGTTCTCTTTGTAAAGATCATGTTCACCTATTAAATGTGATAATGGCATTTTAAATTATCAAAGCAATACATGCTTCTTATAACAAAAAAAGCAAAACAGCAACAACAAAAACCCTACTTCACAAAGTAAAAATCCTTTTCACTCCCTAAACCTATTCCCAGGATGCAGATCCTCTTCTGATTTTTGTTCATAAACATAAATATAAATAGAGAAAGAGAAAGAGAGAGCGATGCATTAAATAGACAGATACAGAGATATGAGCATATACAATAGGATTATTTTCTATATATTTTTGTTCTGCATCCTGTTTGTTTCAGTAAATAACATCTTTCATTATCAGGATATGTGGGAATCTCATTTTTATAAACTCATTTACATGGAAATCTGCATAGTTTTCCATAGTATGGAATTATCATAATTCATTTAACTATTCCCCTTTGTACATCCTCCCCATTTATATGAGGACTCAATAATAATAATATAAAAAATAACAACTATATTTAATAGACAATATCTGAGTTTGCTGTGTGCCAGGCACCATGCTAAGAAACTAAACATACATCATTTCATTTCCTCTTCATAAGTCTTATGAGGCAATTACTCTCATTAACCTCATGTTTTTTCAAATGAGGAACCTAAGGTTATAAAACTTAATGTTGCACAATATGTGACAGTGCTGAGATTAAAACTTGGGAAGTCTGACTCCATGCTCTTAACCACTATGCCACAGAAGTACAATAGCTGGGTCAGCAAGTATGTGCATTCAGTTTTTGAGAGGTGCTGTCAACTGCTATCCCAAGATTACATTAATGTATATACCTTTATCTTTTGACGTGCTGCAAACTGTTCACTTGCAAGAAACAACGGCAACCACACATTTTCTAGCCTATTTAGGACGTGCTTCTGAATTTCAATCAGAACGGCTGCATCAAGCTGCTCATGGAGAATCTTTCCCCAGCCACCACTTAAATTCATTATCTAAGGAAAAAAAAAAGAAACTTCTGTAAAGAAGTGAAGAAATACTAATAGTCATTAATTTATTCATTCACCCCAAAACCATTTGCTGAGCACCTGACAGATGCCATAATTTCCATTTTCTGTAAAGTATCTCCTGGCTTTACTGTGTATAGTAAAGAGAGATAACTCCCCTAACATCAAACAGAGAATTGTGGTCTATGTGATGGTTGTGTCAGATGTATGGTTTTGCATATGGTATGTTTCAAAGAACACAGGGATTTTTATTCTGCATAACAACTGCAATGCCATTTTTTTCTCCATGGCCTCAGTTTCTTCAACTGTAAAATAAGGCATTAGCTTGTGAGTCCTTTTCTAGAACTAATACTTAGTGAATCTGTGATTCTACTCAAATGGACTTGTTTGAGAAAGCATTTTCTTTTGTGTAAGAGAAAAATAAGGCATTAATTACTTAAGAGACGATCTTGACTCAGATATTATAAGTATGTACATCACAAACAAACACTGGGTTGGAGATGGTGGAATGACGGTGGTGGTGGCAATGTAGGGCTGTCCCAGCAACTTCAAAGAAGAAAACAGGTAGCAGGAAGTAGAGGAAAGTCAGGTTATATAGACAACAGTCTCTTACTTGCACGGGTAGCACCTTTTATAAACACAATTCTTTGTGGCCCAAATTGTCCTTCTGCATAATTACTGACTTCAACAATACTAATGGCTACTTCCTGCTATAAATCATTCTGATTTTTTACCTCTTTCTGTGTACAGACCACTCAAAATTTTTGGACTCATCATTAGAAAAATTATCTCTTCTTCATTATTTTTTGATTAATGAGATTAATCAAGTCCTTATAATAATATCATTTCATTAAAAACAAAAGGGAACCACAGAAATACAAAAAACTGTAAGAGAATACTACGAACAATTAAATGTCAACAAATTGGACAACCTAGAAGAAATGGACAAGTTTCTAGAAACATACAGTCCAGCGAAACTGAATCAAGAAGAAATAGATAATTTGAACAGACCGATCATTAGAAAGGAAATAAAATCTGTAATGAAAAAAAAAACTCCCTGCAAACAAAAGTCCAGGACCAGATGGCTTCACTGGAGAAATCTACCAAACAAACAAAGAAGAACTCATACTGATTCTTTTCAAACTCTTCCAAAAGATTGAAGAGGAAGGAACACTCCCAAACTCATTCTCTGAAGCCACCATTACCCTGATACTGAAATCAGACAAAGACACCAACAAAAAAGAAAATTATAGGCCACTATCACTGATGAATACAGATGCAAAAATTCTTAACAAAATATCAGCAAAACAAACCCAACAATACATAAAAGAGATCATATGCTACGATCAAATTGGATTCATCCTAGGGTCACAAGGATGGTTCAAACACACTCAAATCAATCAATGTGATATACCACATCAACAAAAGAAGAGACAAAAACCATATGATCATCTCAATAGATGCAGAAAAAGCATTAGATAAAATTCAACATCTATTCATGATAAAAACTTTTACCCAAGTGGGTATAGAGGGAACATATTTCAACATAATAAAAGCTGTTTATGACAAACCCATAGCCAATATAATAGACATGGTAAAAATTTGAAAGCCTTCCCACTAAAATCTGGAAGAAGACAAGGATGCATGCTCTTACCACTTCTATTCAACATAGTGTTGGAAGTCCTAGCCTCAACATTCAGACAAGAAAAAGAAATAAAAGGGATCCAAATTGTCATTGCATGCAGATGACATGATGCTATATATAGAATACCCTAAAGACTCCACACAAAAACTACCAGAGCTGATAAATGAATTCAGCAAGGTAGTAGGTCACCAGATTAACATACAGAAATCTGTTGCATATCTTTACAAAAACAATGAAATATCAGAAAAAGAAACTAAAAAAAAAAATCCCTTTTAAAATTGCATTAAAAAATACTTAGGAATAAACCGGACCAAGGAGGTGAAAAGCTTATATGCTGAGAACTGTAAAAATACTGATAAAGAAAATTAAAGATGACTTAAAGAAACAGAAAGATGTCCTATGGTCTTGGATTGGAAGAATTAATATTGTCAAAATGGTCATACTACCCAAAACAATCTACAGATTTAATGTGATCTCTATCAAATTACCCAGAATATTTTTCACAGAAATAGAACAAAATAATCCTAAAATTTATATGGAATCACAAAAGACTCAGAATTGCCAAAGCAATACTTAGCAAAAGAACAAAGCTGGAGGCATAACTCTTCAAGACTTCAGACAATACTACAAAAGCTACAGTAATCAAAACAGGCTAGTATTGGCACAAAAGCAGACATATGGATGAATGGAACAGAAAAGAGAGTCCAGAAATAAACCCACACACTTACGGTCAATTAATCATTGACAAAGGAGGCAAGATTATACAATGGAGAAAAAGATAGTCTCTTCGGCAAGTGGTGCTGGGAAAGCTGGACAGCCACATGTAAATCAATGAAGTTGGAACACTCCCTCACACCATACACAAAAATAAACTTAAAATGGCTTAAAGATTTAAATATAAGACAGGGCACCATAAAACTCTTAGAAGAGAACATAGGCAAAACATCCTCTGACATAAATTCCTAGGTCAGCCACCCAAGGCAACAGAAATAAAAGCAAAAATAAATACACCAGAAACTAACACATCATTGCAGGTCAATCATACTTCAATTAAAAAAAAAGTAATAAACAAAAGAGAAACCTTCTTAGGCATCCTTTAACAATAGTAATCAAAATTTAAAATAATACTATTTTATATAAAAAGAAGAAGAAAACAGAATCAGGGGAAAGATTACTTTACTACTCAGACTGCAAATTGGCCACACAACTAAAATTAGAACTAGTATGGTCTATATAAAACATAATGTGATGAAGATATACTTAAGTATAAAATAGGTAAAAAAAATTACAATAATAATAGTAAAAGTAAAGACAAAGATGAAGAGGAGGAGTCATTCGGAAAACCCCTCTGTAGTAAGCACAACCATTTGCTATGACAGCAGTGAGTGACTTTTTCCACTGAATTTTAAGTTCTCAGCATGTTTTACTGTGGAGGGTTCACACAGTAGCATCAGATACCATGAAACCTCACGCAATGCAGCACAAGCCAAATAGAAAACAAATGCTTTCCATGTGTTTATTTCATACTTGTGCTTATTGAGATACTCCCAATCACTTTTGCTTAATATATCCCAGATTTGTATCTCCGGGAACTAATGGCAAAGGCATTCTTGTTAAGGTTGCTTAATTCTAGAATTTCTTCTTCCTCTTTTTCCCAAGGACTTTTGCTTATTTTTCCCCAAAAGATCTAGCTTTTTAATGTGGTATGCTCTACTTGTGAACATCTCTAAATTTTTTTTACTTTACTGAATTAATCTGAGATTTTTATTTTATAGATGTTGCCATTAAGATATGCATCCTGTTTAACTACAAAAGAAATCAAATGCTATACATTTGATCTGACAAACTTCTAGGACTAGCAAACTTCAAATTAAATAAATTATAACACTTAATCCTTTATATTTCAAAGCCATAAAAACTGAGTTAAATTTATGTGATCAAAGTGCTACATGAATACTCAAACCCAATGCGGAATCCCAACCTGACATTTTTGATGTAAATAATGACATTGTATAGTTATTAATAAGTTGTGATGAAGGGTATGTGGTTTTGGTTCAACAAAATGGCAGACCTATGTTCCTGGTCAATAAAAACAGCTTTGGAGGACAATACAATGGCAAACGGGATTTTTCAATGATCCGTATGTTTGGAGTAACATCAGCTACGAGAAGAACAGAAAAGAGGTAGAGATGAGGCTTAATGGCTAAAAATGGCTATTTTCTTGCTAACTGAAAGGTGCAAGGACTTTGTTTACCTTGTTTACCATTTATCGTGAGCACCTAGAACAGTGTCTTGCATATCACAGGTACCCATACTTGTCAAATGAATGGGTGAGTGGATGAACAAAGTTACTTTCATTCCATAAGTTACTTTTTAAAATAATACTGCTTTTATAACATGTAACATTTGAGTGAATTGTAAAGACATTTGCAGATACTTATGAATACCTTAAAAAGATATCAAAAGTGTCTAACACACAAATCATAAAAGCAAAAAAAAAAGATCACTTTGAAGTTGTTGGTAAAAAAAATAAATTACTAGTTTTTATACTTGAATATAGAAAATGTGTTTCCATGTTGATACCTGGTCTTGCTGATAAAGAGAAGCTGGACTGTTGGGTCCAAAGAAATATTTTTTATTAAGATATTTGTTTTTAATATATATAGATTTTGCTTCCCTTTGCTCTCGATCTCTGTAAACTATTCTTCGGAATTGTTCAATGTCCGTCCAGCACATAAGGTCCATGCTAAAATGAAAACAAAAACAAAGTACAGTCCTTCTTAGTTATTTCTTTCAATTATACTGAGCACCAAACAAGCTGTCTTTCTGACAGAACTTAGAAAATGTCATCTTGACTAGTTAGCACATCTGATTAGATCGTGAAATTAATGAGTACAACACTGTCTTCTCCTGGCTAAATATATGAATGAATAAAAGGAGCACTGGGATCAGAAAAGAAATCTCCCACCATATTGGCAGGGTCTCAGTGTTCTTACATTAATGATGAACTAGTACTGTCATTTTCAAATATGTAAAAATTTCCACCTATTGCATGTCTATTTGGCAACATGCTAAATTTAGAATAATCCGCATCACAAAGAAGAGAAGCTGTATATGTGAAATTTGGCTCCCAGGTCTAACCCGTTTTTGCTAACTTGAGAGAAAAGTACTGGAAAAAATATGATTAATGCTTCAGTTTATATTAGGTATATGTGTCATAAGGTTCCAAGATTCTGTGCAAAACTACAATGTTTCACTTATATATCAGCTAACAAAAATTATAAAATAGTACAGTAATTTCAATAGCTTAGTGAAATATAAAAGAGAATCTTTTCAGAAATAGTAATTAGAGCACTTGTGTAGAAAAATACAAAAGCAGCAGCAGAAAAGGGAAAAAATAAGTCACACTGGTGTTTTCATTTGGCCAATGCTAAAAGTATCAACACATCTTGTTTGATCACTGAAAATAACATTTTGGAGGCAGCTGTTATGAAAATGTGATCTCCACCAAAAAGTTACCCATACAGGTTTGAGACAATTATGCTCATTAATTTTTACTGAAATGGCTAAAATTGAGCACCAAATCACTTTATCAAAATAAGTAGCTCAAAAAGTAAATAGCTTAGAAAAATACCATTTTAAGAGAGAAATAAATTTTAAAATGGTTATGTTCCTCACCTTGAAGAATGAGCTTCAAGAAACTGACGGAAATGTTCAAACTCCAATTTATTGTTAAGCAGATCATTAAAAGTAAAATGCTTATATTCTGCAGGCACATTATTCCAGTATTCTGATTGCTTAGAGACATGAGGAAGTGGTGAAATTCCAGTTCCAATTTCACAAGTGGTGTCCTAGTGGAATAATATTTTCCATAAAAATCTCTTAAATACAACAAATTACTTTCCAAATTTAAATAGAGAAACTGAAATAAAAGTTAACTATTAGGCCAATGCCATTTATCACTTCAGTAGTAGAACTGGGAAAGAATATAGAATCTGGTTCTAACTCACATCAAATTCCGTTCTGTTCCTTTTCTTTCCATTCCCTTCTTTTCAGGAACATTTAGTAAACATTTACTATATACCTGCTTATAAAATGTTACTTTTATAATTTTTTGGTACAGAAGTAATATGTCTTTTGTAATAAAAAGAAAACATTAAGCATACACAGTACTACCATTCAGAGGTAACCACCATTAACATGTTCACGTGCATCCTTCTAGTCTTTTTTGTATTCATACATGTAGTTTATCAAAAATGAAGATAGGCTTAAACAATTATGTATGGTTTTGGAACTTGGTTCTTTTCCTTAGTATATTATGAACATAAAACATTATTTTGTCTATAACAATTTTTAAAGTTATCAAGTAATACAAGATACTTTAAATGTAATCTCCTTCATATAACAGTTAACTGTGAGGTATTTTAAAGACTGCTTATGTTTTGGGAACAGTTTATAAGCCCTGCAGGGCAAGAGCTAAAGAGGTTTATTCTTTGGAAATCCCTCCTTATGTAACTTGCTGTATAATTAACTCATCTCCCTGTTTGATTTTGAAAAGCATCAGACCATGAGATAAATTACCAATGTTTAAAAAATCAATTTTTGATATGTAGAAGTATTATGAATAGTATTATAAATTAAAAAAAATTTAAATACAACTTTCTAATGTGCTATCTTTATGGACTTTTGTGTATCCTTTCCAGATACTGTGTTTCATATAAAGAACTTCCATGTTAATAAGGCAATATCATGAAGATTCCATTAAAAAAAAAACTTTACTGTTTGTGTAAAATTTTACTGTAAAAGAAACAGATTTCAGGTAGGTAAAATTAGAAAGTAAAAAATTCCCTGAAACCTTACCTCTCAGCACTCTCTTTGGTATTTGGATGAACATTTGTCCAGACAGCTCTCTCTGCAAGTATGTATGCAAGTAGAAATGCTGTATAATTTTATATAAATAGGATTATATGATCCCAGTATTTTTGTTCCCTACATTTTTATATAATAATATTTTCTGGGCATTTTCCATATCAATAAACATGAACCTAAACTGTCATTTTTACATAGATACACACATCTAATCTTACGGCTTTATCAATCTGTCACGGTTTACTTAGCCAATCCAAAAGTTGGCACCTTTATAAATCAAAACAACATTTTAATATCCTAGTCAATTTTATGATCTTTGTACTGACTCTCGCAAGCCCTCTCCATATTTTTTTCTTTATTGTTTAGCTTACTGCTGTCACACAACAGTTCCTTTTCTGTTTGGAAAACTCGATTTAATTCTTTTGTGACTTGACAACAAATAGAGCTGTGGCTATACAGAAAATAACTAGTAACATTCCAAGGAACATAGTGTGGCTTGAAGGCAAGTGAGGATCTTGGCTCCCTATGCAACCTCATCTGCTTTGTTTTTCTGGCTTTGCTGTTAAATTGTCAGTATAATGTGACACCTGTCAAATGCAGCACGCTAGGCAAAGCAGCAGAAAATGAAACCGCCTGTCCCTTACCATATCAATACATGATCTTCTCAATATAGATCCCTCTCCCACCTCCTACCTATGCAGTGATAATCGTCTCCAGGTTAAAATACTTGTTTTTCTAAGTAGAATGTTTCTTACCTCCGCTTTCTTGAAAAGTGTCTCTTTATGCAAAGCCTGTAGTTTTCTGAAGCATGTGGAATCTAGCTGTCGAGTTTCTTCCACCAGCTCCACCTATAATAAAACAATAATAAAGCTTGTAACATCAAAAGAATGTGCATTATGAAGGAGTGGGGAAAGAATGCACAATTTGCCAATAAAACAGTGGGCTAAAAAACAAATACACTTGCCAGTAAAGTAAGCTAGTCTGGAGACAAAAGCAGGAAGACCAACATGGCGAAAAATATTAGAGACAGCAAAGTCAGGATGCAAATGCATGTGATTAAAAATATACATACATTTCTATGTAATGATACAGTGCCACCAAAGATCATTCCTCCTTTCTGGATACCCCATGTGAACTAATAGACAGTGCAAACATGTTGGGTGACATTTCCAGCTTCTATTCACTGTAACAGGATAACAGTCATGGAGGTAGGCACTGCTAGCTTTGGGGACCTAATAATACACAATAGAATAAGAAATGACTGGACTCTACTGTAACTGGTCTGTGAGCAAAGGTTTTATAGCTGTGAGAAGAGAGGAGAGGGTTAATCCTCAAATTAAACCTCACAGTAGGGCTCAGCCTTCAGCGTGTGCCCTGTACTGCTTTAAACGGTCAGGAGAATAAGCTCATTCTCCATCTCTCTGCTGCAGGGAAACACCAGTTTGGCTGACTGAGAACTTCCTGTGTTTAACAGCTAATTTTGGGTAAGTCTCCTCGTTTATCCTTTTTGGGAAAGAGTCTACATAATCCAGTCGGCTGGACTTTTAGAGAAGTCCTCTGGGCTGAATTTAAGTTTCTAGAATTAAGAGAAATTTATTATTCCTCTTATTAAAAAATGGTATATAATTTGTCCCAGGCATTTTATAAGAATCACTACTAATGCCCAAACTTTTTGGTTTAGGGAAGTTAGTCATAATTCTAACTGTTTTGTCACCCTAGGACCGTATCTCAGATCCAGTTTCCTCTACATTATACAACTATATTTAAAATAATTACTGGAGAGAATTTTTTTAAAATTTCATTTATGATATCCCAATTTTCCTAGTATAAAATACGTATTTTTGTAGTAGAAAGGATGTGAAAGCTAATTTTTCAGGATGAAAAGAAATCAGGGATTAAAAACTCATTATTTTGGTCAGTGAATTTAGTAAGTCATAAAGGTTGTTTTGGTCACAATCCAATAGAGTCATTCTATCCAAGGTGTTGTGGTATTAATTTTATCCTAATTACCTAACCCATCCTTCCTGGAAGAAGACATGACTCAGAAGTTGTTGAGGAGATACGAACGAAGAAGGGCAATACAAAGACAGCAGAGTTCCCTTTGAAATGACCTCATGTACAAAGGATAAGCTTTAACTTAATATTAAAAATACACACGAATGGTTTTAATTTGTGATTCAGAATAAACATTTAAAGAAATTTCCTCCACCCATCAAGAGAAAAGTGAAAATATTCAAGCACTGAGGTTTAAAAAAAAATGACCTTTTTTGGAACAAAAAAAAAGATGTGTTGACACTTTTATCCCATCAAGCAGTCTGACCTGATGAACATCTGGGGTGTTTTAAAACAGCAGCACTGAAGTCAGAGAGTATGCCTTCCACAATACATATGAAACGTTTATATTTTCCATGGGTGTAATATTCACTATAACTCATCCAGCAGAAAAATAAACGGGCTTTTTCCATTAATTAAATTAAGGCCACTGCTGAGAAACACAGGAAGGGACAAAGCCACTATATTATCATGGCGTATTTTATTGATTCATAGGAAACCAAAACTCAGGTTTCTCTCTGCTGACATATTTGTAGAGAGAATTAAAAAAATGACATTGATTTTAGTCTTTTGTTAGGAGGCAATAGGGAAACTGATAAATAATTAAGTTAATAAATACTTTCCCTGCCCCAATTTGTGTCTGCCCAAATCTTAACTCTGAGTCCTTGGCCCGTATAAAACCTTTTTCCAGCTTTTCTCTCTTGTGAGTTAACTTATCATCAGTTTTGTAGTAGATCTGAATGGTCCACATACAATTGATCAGAGCCACAATACCTTTCCGTAAGCAACTTGGTCTGATTTTACCATCTTTGTCCAGGGCTCAAGAAGGAGGAGAAGGATATATTCTTCTGCTGTGTCAAAAAGGTCTTCAAATGGTGGCTGTATTTTCATATAAATTTCTTTTTTCTTTTCCTGGTGGAGTCCAATGTCAAGAGTGGCTGAAGGAGCAATGTATGTGGCAAAAAGATACTACAGGAGAATGGGGAGAAAGGAGAGGATATTGGGAGAAAACATAATGGTTAGTAGTTTCCTTAGCAAAAGCATATTTTAAAAGGTAAGAGAAGGCAAACAAGTTCAAGTGATTTTTTTTCTTGAAGAGATGTGCAAACTACTCAAGACAAAGCAATGTGTTTATTCAAAAAACTTTGCCTTTCATTTTTTTTCCTATTTCTTCATTGGAAATTAGTCAATTGGCCAGTGTATCTTGTAAAAGAATGTATGAAATGAATATTCCATTTTTTCTCAGATTACTGCTATGTACTATTATGATAGATTCCACACTATATGTCCCCTTTTTTTCTTATGTTCATGACATTTCTAACACATTTGTGCTACTTTCCAAAGTGGTTTGAAATGCCCTTTTGGAAACAAGAGGCAAGAATACACCAGGGCTGAAAACTGGCTATCACTCTTCTAGTCTAGAGACCCAGGAGACCACCTGCCCTCCCTAACTGAGGTGCAGAGTTCTTACACGTCTCCACCTGGTGTCTAATGCAGTGGAAGGGATGCAGAAGGAGATAAGAATGAATGGAACAGATGGAACTTCTAGCTTCCTAGACAAAGCTGCATAAGTATGTATTCCATTTTACTCATTTGTCTTCTCCCTCAATAACAGCCATTTAAATCTGAGAGGTAATTTAATAACATTTTATTTTTTAAATGATATTTACTGGATATGTCATGCCCTGCACATCAGATTTAAATGTAGTTTTACTAAGAATCTCTAATTGTATTTTATTTCAATTTTATTTTTATACTTAGATTTTGGACCTAATAATGCCCAGACTCAACCCAAGTGATAGATAGATATAGATTGGTGCCAAACACCAAATAATAGTCTTATGTAAAAGAGCCTTTCATAAATTTTAATGGTTTCACATTGGTAAGTATTTGCCGAATATCTGCTACATCTTAGACACTTGAGTAGGTGCTGTGTATGCAGAGATTAATGATTAAGACCCAATGCATGCCTGAAGAAGCCTTTTGGTGTGACATGGAGATGAAAACCAGTGGTAACAATATAGCATGGCAAGCACCACAATAAAGGTATTCATTGCAAATAAGATCTTCAATGACTGCCTGTTCATTCTGTTCAAGCTCACCCCTTATCAATCACCTTTTAAGCTTTATGCTCAAACACCAATTTTTCTGTAATTTCCCTAAGCTTTACTGTTTTCTCATTCCATACCACTGCACAAGTTGTTCCTTCAGCCTTGGATATTTGCCCTACCCCATGCACGTAGCCTGCTCAACAAACTCTGAATTATTCTTTAAAAACCAATATGGTGCAGCAACATGGATGGACCTGGAGATCATCATTCTAAGTGAAGTAAGCCAGAAAGAGAAAGAAAAATACCATATGATATTACTTATATGTGGAATCTAAAGAAAAGACAAATCAACTTATTTACAAAACAGAAAAAGACTTACAGACATAGAAAACAAATTTATGGTTACCAGAGAGGGAAGGGAGTGGGAAGGGATAAATTGGGACTTCAAGATTTGCAGATACTAATTCAGCCATAAAAAATGACAACATAACGCCATTTGCAGCAACATGGATGTCCCTGGAGAATGTCATTCTAAGTGAAGTAAGCCAGAAAGAGAATGAAAAATACCATGCAAGATTGCTCATATGTGGAATCTAAAAAAAAAAGAAAAAAGAAAAAGACAAATGAACATAAATACAAAACAGAAACACTCAGATATAGAATACAAAACCTGTGGTTGCCAGGGGGGAAGAGGGTGGGAAAGGACAGACTGGGAGTTCAAAATTTGTAGATACCGACAGGTATAAATAGAATAGCTAAACAAAATTATACTGTATAGCACAGGGAAATGTATACAAGATCTTGTGGTAGCTCACAGTGAAAAAGAATGCAACAATGAATATATGTATGCTCATGTATAACTGAAAAATTGTGCTCTACACTGGAAATTGGCACAACATTGTAAACTGACTATAACTCAATAAAATAAAATAAATTAAAAAGATTTGCAGATACTAATGTATATAAAATAGACAAACAACAAATTTATACTATATAGCACAGGGAACTATATTCAATATCTTATGGTAACATATGGTAAAAAAATATGAAAACAAATATACGTATGTTCATGTATGACTGAAGCATTAGCTGAACATCAGAAATTGACACAATATTGACTATACTTCAATAAAAAATATATATACAAAAAAATCCAACATGGATTTCTTCTCTTCCAGGAAGCTTTCACTCACATCTTCCTCCCAAGATCATACTTTTCTACCCTACCAGACTATAATGTGATCATGCATTCATGTGTCTTCTCTTCTAGAACAAGGTCCTTGAGGGCAAATACTGCAGCTTAGTCTTCTGTGATTCTCCAGCTCCTAAAACTGTTCTTGGTAGAGAGCAGATTCCATAAACGTTTATTGAATTGTACTGAATCCACAGAGAAGACCTGTTTTTGTCTTGGAACTGGGGAAGGAAAAGGTCCAGAAACTCTTCAAAGAGAAGAAAAGCTTCTTATCCTTAGTCTTTAATTTGAATTTTTAAAGATGAGTTGGAGTCAGCCAGATAAGAGAAGGGAGTCGACGAGGATAGTTCAAAAAGGAAAACATCGGTCAAGGCAAGGAGGCCTAAGAAGGTTTTATAACCTTGGAGAGTCGAGTCTCCAAGCAGGTAACACTGGCTAAAGGACAGAGGTAGAATGAGAGCGGTTGCTATAATGGGAGGCAGGTACCAGAGCATGGATATGATCTTTTATCCTTTGGTAAGGAATTTGGATTTTTACCTAAAGATATATAATGGGGAAAATCTGAGGAGTGACATCATTACATGAATTTTAGAAATAAATCACTATGGTATCAGAAGGGAGAAATGGTTTCAGTAGATCAAGATTTGAGGCAGTTTGGAAGTTATTTTAACAGCCAAACAAAAAATTACATGCCACCCTCATCTCTAGCCTGTTTTTTTTTTTTTGCAACAGCCTCTGAACTGGTCTTCTCAGGTTCCTCTTTGCTTTCTTTCAGTCTCTTATTACCACAGCAAAAAGAGTAATTCTTTTGAATATCACTCCTCTAGTCAAACTCTCCAGCAACTTCCCATCTCATACAGAATAACAGTCAAAGTCCTTAAACTCCAATTTGAAAAGATACATGCACCCAATGTTCATAGCAGCACTATGTACAATAGCCAAGACATGGAAACAACCTAAATGTCCATTGACAGATGACTGGATAAAGAAGTTGTGGTTTATTTATACAATGGAATACTACTCAGTCATAAAAAGAGAATAAAATAATGCCATTTGCAGCAACATAGATGAATCTGGAGATCATCATTCTAAGGGAAGTAGGTCAGAAAGAGAAAGAAAAATACCATATGACATCACTCCTATGTGGAATCTTAAAAAAGAAAAAAGCAGACACAAATGAACTTATTTACAAAACAGAAACAGACTCACAGACACAGAAAACAAACTTCTGGTTGCCAGGGGGAAAGGGGGTGGGAAGAGATAAACTGGGAGTTCGATATTTGCAAATATTAACTATTATATATAAAATAGATAAACAAAAAGTTTCTTTTGTATAGCACAGGGAACTATACTCAATATTTTGTAGTAATCTATAAAGAAAAAGAAGATGAATACAAATATATGTATGTATACATATGACTGGAACATTACGCTGTACACCAGAAGTTGACACATTATAAACTGACTGTACTTCAATTTCTAAAAACACATTACCAAAAAAACAGTCAAAGTCCTTACAATTACTATAATTGAAGTTTTTGGAAATTTCTCAATGCTGAGGGGATAAGAATTGTAGTTCAGGACCTGTCAGTGAGGAAATACCTACAAAAACCTCAGGCTCTCAAAAAACTCTAAGAGCAGGGGTCGACCAGATATAGACTCTGGCCTTGAGTCTTTAACGTGCCAAAAGAAAATAACTGCTAACCTATAATTCTATACCTAGTAAAAATATCTTTCTAAAATGAAAATAAAGATGTCATAAATCAATAAACAAAACCAGAATTCATCACCAGCAGACCTGCACTAAATAAATAAAAAAAAAGGGAGGCCTTAGACAAAAGCAGGATGGAATTCAGAACAACAAAAAGCACACATATGTAGGTAAATATCAATAAATATTGATTGGAAAATATAATAATAATGAATAAAGTCAGAGGAAATAGTAAAAGAGCCTACAAAAGAAAAGTCAGAATGGAAGGTGTAGAATTAAAGTGCAATTGAAATGATCTACCATGAGGCCTGTTACAGGTAGGAAAACAAAACAGGTTCGAATCAGGGTAGTAACAAACAATAAGCAGGGCAGAGTATCAAAGAACGAGGAGTGAAGATAGAGGAGGAGCACACGCACCACAGTTAGAAGGGAGTACTATGAAGTTCAGGACATAATAGGCACTCAATAAATATTTGCTAAATGAATGAATGGAAGAGAGGGGCCTAAACTGAGATTATGATCTGAAAGGGAAATCTCAGAGTTCAAACATTTTAAGCTGAACTAGTTCCAAATTATGATGAATCCTAGGATATGGCCATCCCTACAGTTAACTTAGGAAAAACGGAGATAAAAGACTTTTGGAACTGGGTAAGTTAAGAAACACTATATAGCACATATGTTGTAAGGATTATTAGTGTGGATGTAGAAAGAGCTTCAAGATGATAAAAGAGAGAAAGTAGGGAGAAATTTCATGAGTCATGTATTGAAAACTCCTAGGAAGATAAATAGAACTTAAAAGGTCTTTAGAAAACATTAATGAGGTTAAGGGGAAGGGAAATTAGCAGATGGAATAGACTTCAAAATTTTTGAAGCTATTAAAAGACGAGTCCTGAACAGCAGCAGAGGACATTTTTTTCCTAAGTGTTGTGAAATATGGGAGAAAGGGCATATTTAAGAGCCACTGGGGATCTTCTATATAATTAGGTCATCTACAGTCTGGAAACTTCCTTCTCTA